TATGCATTGGGCTTCAAAGCTACAACTCAGACTTGTTGCATACAACACAGTTTTCTGTACAGATTAGAAAAAGTGAGCTGGTCCCATCTTACCCCATTGGGGTAAGATGGGATCAGGCTGGGGTAAGAAAGGACCAACAGGTAATTCTTATGTTACAATAAATATAAATCTGATATTCAGTATTATCCATCTAGAAACACATTATTTGATTAAACAGCCACTTGTTACTGTTTTGTGTTGCAGGAAGTCAACTCTAATATCAGTCACATTGGAGTTTTTGCCACGAGAAAACTTTGTTAAGCAAAGTAATAGTAGGTTGGCTTTGATTCATTGTAGAGCACTGCTAAATGCTACATGTATATTCCATTAGTGTCCTTGTCTGAAAATTTATCAAATTGGTAATAAAACCAATAGATAATAACTTAAGAGTCGGACGTCATGCATTTTCTTGCTAACTGCATTTGTGGTGCACTTCGTCAAACATAGCCCATGCCCTCTCACAAAATTGTGATAATTATTTCTTATGTTTCACACAATGATTTTTCTCCCAGCCACTCTTGCACATTGTTCTGCAGCTCACTAATGGGAAGAGACATCCCTATTTTCTCCATCCCCATGATGCAATTCACAATAGTATGCTAAAATTATCTAATTAAAAAAGCTAACAAGTTAGAATGGTTATTTTAAGCAGAAGATGAATATTTTGACCAAAATACTCCATGTATACTTATGCACAATGTTTTTTTCATTTAAAAGCTATTTTTGATAAACTATGGGTAAAAGAGGACCGTTTGTGGCAATTGTGGGGTAAGACAGGACCATTTGAGGGGTAAGATAGGACCACTTGTGGGGTAAAACAGGATCATTTAGTGGTCCTGTCTTACCCTGTGTCCGGTCCATTTTTACCCCATTTTAGAATAGTTGTCAGGCAGTGATGGTAGCAGGTAGGAATGCCTAGTATGTCTCAAAAGTTGCTTATTACTTGAGGTTACCTGCCTACATCCACAAACCTGGCCAAAAAATTTTTTGTAATCAGACACAGCTTATTTCCCAAATAGGGTTAACTATTTTGTGACCCTTCTCTACATAGGTTTTCTTTGAAAATTAACCAAAAATTAATTATTTGCAGAAGAGGGTTGAAACAAACACTGAAATGACAGGCAATGATTGCTCTAACATATTCTTTTGTCAAATTAAATTCAGTACAATTAGAATGCATGCAATGGGCCGGTCCTTTCTTACCCCATGAAGGCTGCGATCCTGTCTTACCCCATTCGACTATATTGTGTTTAAATTCTTCTAAGTAGGTAACCACTGAATTCTTGTTTATAGTAGGTCAGTGGAATGAGTGGATACAGTGGCTCAGGATGCAAACTGTGGAAAACAGGGCAAACATGGCACAAGAAAACATCCACAAGCAAGAGCCACTGCTCAGACAGGATCCAACTACTTTTCATATCAAACTAGAAGAATGAATTACAAATATGACAAAATAGGTTAATAGGCTATCTAAATATATCAGCTGTATTTACAATTCAGTTTAGTTTTTACAATTTAACCTAGTTAAAAATAGCTGTATTTACAATTCAGTTTAGTTTTTACAATTTAACCTAGTTAAAGTTCACTCAGTCTACCTGACTAGGCTGACTTCAGAATAAATTTGGTCAGAAACTGAAAGATCTTACGTTGTACATCACTGTTATAATTCCCTAACCCCAGGAGCTAGTCTGGAAAAGTCCTATTTTTGTCTGAAATATCGCGGCTCTAATATCATATAATTTCAGTAGGTATGAAATCTCGCTGCTCGTAGAAATGGAATCACGGCTGGCAAATCCATAAAACCACGGCTCAAAAAATTCAGTCGCGGCTCGCCAAGTAGATATATTCCATACTAGCCCAGGAGGTCACGTATAGTAAATGGTACATTTAAAAATCTTTAATTAGTCTCCAGTTCTTGTCTGGGCTGTACATGACATTGACATTGCAATAGGAAGTGCTCAATTGTATCTGTTGTGCTGCAGGTGATGCATTGATCGGAGTCGCCCACACTCAGGATGATGTATGTTTTCGGTGAATTTTCCCACGCATTTTCACTTTTTTTAAGCTATTGCTATGCACAGTTGGCGCAATGTAATGAAAATTGATTATCTTCTCACCCATGTTTGCGCAATCCCGGCCATCTTTATTTTAGAATAAATTTTCTCCAAAGTCATATGGCAACACTGAACACCGTCTGTTTCCATTTTGTATGTATAACAGCCGCAGTTTACGATTACCATACGTTCCGTATCCGACAAGGCGGCATAGTGGCAAACCAGAGCTTTTTTAGAATCAGTTCATTTTTAATTTCCTCATTTACTCAAGATTTGAACCAATTTCTTAAGTATGATAATGCTGGTATCCAGGATACTTTACTGGTCTACTTATAGGACTCAAAAATGAACTTGAGGATTTTATGACATTCGAGCCGCGAGATTTCATACCTACTGAAATTATATGATATTAGAGCCGCGAGATTTCATACCTACTGAAATTATATGATATTAGAGCCGCGATATTTCAGACAAAAATAGGACTTTTCCAGACTAGTTCCTGACCATGGTCCATGGGGAGTCGCTCATTTTGAACCTATGGAGATGGCTTCTGACACCAGCATGTCCTATTCTTAGTCGGGCAGCTGCGCACTCCAGTCTTCGAGACTTCAAACAGAGCCAACTGCCAAGGACGCAGTCTAGGTTCCTCCATGATGTTGTTCAGAAAAATTCCCTTCTGGGAGGACGTACCTACCAAATTCCAAGAAGTGACTCACAGTAACCAATCGACTGGTCATCACCTGACATCCGTAGTTACAGAATAATAAACGGAACCAAATACTTTTTGCATTAGTTGAAAATGATAGAATTGACCAATTCAGTCATTTTTAGAGCATGGAAAATTCATTTAAGAATTTTTTCGTATATCTTCTTATTCCTAATTTGGATATGATATTCATATGGAGAAATTTGTTGTTGTTGTTGTTAGCTTTGTTTGAGATGTGTAGATGACCTCCTGCGGGATATGGAGAAATTTGAAATATTCGATGCCGATGGAGAGTCATCGCAATGGGATTTTTCTCTAGTTTGAAAGTTTTAATGCAATACTTTATATGTAATTAAAGTAAGCGATCTCCAGATTTTTTATTTTGGCGTGAATATAATTCATAAGTGCTTTAAAAATATCCAAAGTCCTTTCTTATTGTTGGTGACGATTAGAGTTTCGGATTTATTATCGTATTGCCCTAATAATGTACGGTATCATCATCTGTATTACCGTCTTGCTTCAGTACGTATTCCTCGGTAATTTCTCGCCATCTAGACTAAAGTTGAGCTAAATGTTTAGGTGTGAGAGAAGGGACGCTTGTCGGTCACTACGGATTTCGGTCCGTGTATCTCGTAGGCCCAGTGGTTAAGGGCAGGGTGGCCCAATGGTTAAAGTTCATAGTACCAAGATCGGCGCAGATAGGCGCGGGTTCGATCGCTGTGCGCCAGTTTCTGTTCAGAATCGGCAAGGAGGCCGGGCGGTTAAGCACAGCAGAATTCGAGCACCGAGTTGTGAGTTCGAGACCGGCAACAAGCTGTGAATGTTCTGTGATGTTAAGAATCGGCGACAGGCCAACGGCCTAATAAACGCTTAAACTGCATTATTATATAATAACCGAAAGGCAATGGGTTGTACGATGCATTTGTAATTACACATCGACAGTATTAAATGCTCAAAATCCTATTTATATTGTTGCAGAATTGTCAAATTTTGAAAATATAATTTAGAAAATCATATCATTTGAGAAATACAGAATAATGTTGAAGTTATTCTATAAAAATGGAAGTATGTACTAAATTATTTTCAAGACACATATCGTCCTAATATCTTAGCGCGGCGACAAATGCGCGATGGCGAATTGAGCGATATCCACAACAAAATTTAGAGTCGCCCCAGCTTCTGTTAATCTAAATAAGAAGCTGCCGCGTCTGTAAATTTTCACTGGGATTGGCTGTATCACACACCCAAAAATCCAAGGCTGAATGACTGGGATAACAGCAAAATCTGGAAATAATTAATTAAAATGTCACTTTCAGGAGTGCATTCAAACAAAAGTATAATGGGATCATTTTACCTTAATTGGGATCACGTAAATAAAACAACATTCGAGATTGACTCGTTTATTCACGGAATGCTTCTAAGTTCAATAAAATGCATAGTCGTATTGTACAGAGAAATGTATATTGGAAACCATTATTCGCGATCTCATTGAGTCGCGTCTTAATTAACAGTAATTGGTAACAATGAGAGCTTGCAAAGAATATGCATTAATACTTTATTTATTTTATGGAGAAAGTATTGCTACCTCATTTATCTTTATGTGAAATAATTTCATTACAAGATGATTACCAAGACAACTAGAATTACACGTCTATAGTTCAAGTCTCAATAGCAGTAGAATTATAATTACACTAGTTATTACATTAGATAATTTCATTCAAAGAAGTTTGTAAGTTGTGCGTGCAATCTATAGATAAGCTTCGTTCACAATTCGTAAGAACTTCGAATACCAAAACCTTTCATGCCATCAACGATGAAAATTTGTGCGGTTTTAAAGGAAATTTTTAGGAGATTCAATTTTTTTTTTAAGTTTTTTTCCGTCGTATAAATCAGTTTTAATATAAATTTTTAGGAGATTCAATTTTTAAAGTTATTTCCATCGTATAAATCGTTGTGAAATTTTGTGAACCTTTAGAACGCAATTTACAACAAATATCAATACTTTTATTCCGTGATAACAAATTTGACATAAATAAGGCTTTTTGAAATGGAATCTGTTAACAAGAACCTTTGAGCAACGCGGAAACTTTTTCTAGCTACGATACAATCGTTTTTGACACTGACAAATAAAATTCTACGTCAAACACTTCACGTCAAAAAAAAAAATCAAAATTGGACACACGGTCGACATAAAAAAGTAAAACTAACAATTTTTTATCCTACGACAGATACGCTAAATTTAATTAAAAATCGTAATAAGCTGACGACATAATCACAATTATTTGAGAGATTTTAATAGACCTGTACAAGACAAACAAGCTTTCCTACGAATAATTATGCCTAACTGAGGGAGTGCGGCGATTGAAAATTATCAAAAAATAAAAAGAAACAAAAATTGGAAATAAAATGAATGTAACAATTGTGAAATATAGTTGACAATATTATAAAATCCAGAATTTGATTGAGTATTTTAGCATAAAAAAGAGAGCCTTACGGTATCGCCTCTTAAGTTTAAGCAAACAATCAACAGCACAGTGATTATCAAGAGAAAACGTTAAGTTAATTTAGCCGCGATCAACGTTCACAGGAATAATCAACCTTCATTAATTAAAAGCTAATTCAACACTTCAGAGTCTCTTCTCTTTAACATAAATAGAAGAAGAATGATTTGGACGAGGTTGTATTAATAAATATCTTCAAAAGATCGGGAAAATGGTACATTCTTATCGTGTCGTAACATCGCCTTAACTTACCGTCTACCGAACGCATTATCTGGCACGGTTCTAATTACTTAGGTTCCTGTTAATAAACTAGAAAACTATTTATTACCTAGTAATTAATGTCATGAAATCAGTGCCTTTCTGGAAGATTAATATTAAAGATACCTTCACAATAAAGGCAAAGGAATGTGGCTGAGAAATCGAATGCCTTCTTCTGATCTGGCGCGGTTGTTATCCTTTTTCCTTGTTAATTCTTCGTCTAATTAAATATCACTTAACAACTATTTTATTATGGGAAGGAAATAGAGCTTCCAGAACATAGAGTAGAGCAGTGCATAAATAATGTTAACAAAAAGACAATTTCAAGCGTTTTTGGCACTACTAATTGTTTCCAATTTTTGTTAACATTTACTAAAAAAATAACTTGAAATTTAAATGAAGAATCCACACGCAGGATGAGAGAAGTAGGAGTCAGTTCACAAAATCCGAGATTAGAATCCGGTATTTACTTTCATCTAGCAAAACAAAAAAAAATATTATGGTAACTTTTTACAGATTAAAGGTTTAATTTTTCATTCTCGGTTCCCCAGTAACATCTGCACTTCAGGACAAAAATATTCAGCCAATGGTTAATTGTCCTGATGGTTAATGGTTAATGCTCAAAAAAGGGACAATTGTGGCTCGAATAATATTATATTTGATTTATTGATTTCATTAAAGGCATGAAGTTTGAAAATTTCATCATAATTTCTTGCCCGAACAAGTTTATAAGTGCAGCGAAGTGACTGCAATGTGTTCAATGCAGTGCAGTGAATGCAGTGGAGCACAAACTGCAGAATTTTACGTAACTTGCATCAGTTTCAGTTCTTATAAGACTTGCGTTAACAGCACATCAGTTGATGAGCTTAAACTGCAGCGCCCACTTGAACTTTCAGCACTTGCAGCAAATAACGTGCAACCACCTGCGGCCTAGTTAACTTAACGCAGCTGTAGCCTAGTTAATCTGCAGCAGCTGCAGCCTAGTTAACTTAACGCAGCTGCAGCCTAGTTAACCTGCAGCAGCTGCAGCCTAGTTAACTTAACGCAGCTGTAGCCTAGTTAATCTGCAGCAGCTGCAGCCTAGTTAACTTAACGCAGCTGTAGCCTAGTTAATCTGCAGCAGCTGCAGCCTAGTTAACTTAACGCAGCTGCAGCCTAGTTAACCTGCAGCACCTGTCTCTTATACACATCTAGATGTGTATAAGAGACAGGCTGTAGCCTAGTTAACCTGCCGCAGCTGCAGCCTAGTTAACTTAACGCAGCTGTAGCCTAGTTAATCTGCAGCAGCTGCAGCCTAGTTAACTTAACGCAGCTGTAGCCTAGTTAACCTGCAGCAGCTGCAGCCTAGTTAACTTAACGCAGCTGCAGCCTAGTTAACTTAAAGCGGCTGTAGCCTAGTTAACCTGCAGCAGCTGAAGCCTAGTTAATCTGCAGCAGCTGCAGCCTAGCTAGGCTGCAGCAGCTGCAGCCTAGCTAACCTGCAGTAATACCTCCATCTGCCTCCAAGACCTGCATGAGGCTATTAGCCTCCAAGACCTGCACGAGCCTACATGACCTGCAGTATCTGGCTAGCCTCGAAGACGGTGCCGGGGGGCAGGACGATGGGTGAAGTCACGTGACCAGACTCCACGCAAACCATGTTCGGGAATTCTTCTTCCCCGAAGTCGGGGATTTCTTTTGCCTTTTCCAGCCATGGATTCCACACCACTGTAAAACATATAAAAATAGGTAAATAAACACTGCAAAAAAAAAAACATTGCAGTGAGTGACAGAGAGCGCGTTTTCTCGTCGACGAAAACGGGAAGTCACGGACGGACGGACGGACGGACAGACGGACGGACAGAGAGACGGACAGACAGACGGACAGGCGGACGGACAGACAGGCGGACGGACAGACAGACATACAACGGAAGGACAGACAAACGGACAGACAGACGGACAGACAGACGGACAGACAGACGGACAGACAGACAGACGGACAGACAGACGGACGGACATGGCGAGCACAATAGTGCATTTTTTTCATAAATGAGAAAATGCGCTAACAATGAGGCTTCAATAGTTACTTACTTAATTTTATTAATAGGTATCTAGCAGCCTCGAAGCTCAATTAGATTACATCATATAAACAAAGCAAATATACGAGATAAATCGGAGAAATATCAGTAAGGAGAAAAAAGGCTCAAAAGACTTGAGAAATAATAAGTACTATAATCTATTTATCATTAATATATATTATTTATATCATTGTATGATATGTACCATAACAAATAATATTGAAAATGATTAGGTATATATGCCTAAACAGAATCATTTACATACTACATGCAATAGGAGACCTCTGCGAAAAACAAAAATTCCAGTAATTTTGCAAATAAACAAGTTATAAGTATCAACGAAGTTATACTTCTTTATTCTGAAACTTGCAGTGATTATTACATAAATGAACAAGAAACTCAAATGTAGAAGCCAACACGCATACACGCACCAGTGTCAAATGCAGTGATTATTACATAAATGAACAAGAAACACATATGTAGAAGACATAAATGAACAAGAAACACAAATGTAGAAGACATAAATGAACAAGAAACACAAATGTAGAAGACATAAATGAACAAGAAACACAAATGTAGAAGACATAAATGAACAAGAAACACAAATGTAGAAGACATAAATGAACAAGAAACACAAATGTAGAAGACATAAATGAACAAGAAACACAAATGTAGAAGACATAAATGAACAAGAAACACAAATGTAGAAGACATAAATGAACAAGAAACACAAATGTAGAAGACATAAATGAACAAGAAACACAAATGTAGAAGACATAAATGAACAAGAAACACAAATGTAGAAGACATAAATGAACAAGAAACACAAATGTAGAAGACATAAATGAACAAGAAACACAAATGTAGAAGACATAAATGAACAAGAAACACAAATGTAGAAGACATAAATGAACAAGAAACACAAATGTAGAAGACATAAATGAACAAGAAACACAAATGTAGAAGACATAAATGAACAAGAAACACAAATGTAGAAGACATAAATGAACAAGAAACACAAATGTAGAAGACATAAATGAACAAGAAACACAAATGTAGAAGACATAAATGAACAAGAAACACAAATGTAGAAGACATAAATGAACAAGAAACACAAATGTAGAAGACATAAATGAACAAGAAACACAAATGTAGAAGACATAAATGAACAAGAAACACAAATGTAGAAGACATAAATGAACAAGAAACACAAATGTAGAAGACATAAATGAACAAGAAACACAAATGTAGAAGACATAAATGAACAAGAAACACAAATGTAGAAGACATAAATGAACAAGAAACACAAATGTAGAAGACATAAATGAACAAGAAACACAAATGTAGAAGACATAAATGAACAAGAAACACAAATGTAGAAGACATAAATGAACAAGAAACACAAATGTAGAAGACATAAATGAACAAGAAACACAAATGTAGAAGACATAAATGAACAAGAAACACAAATGTAGAAGACATAAATGAACAAGAAACACAAATGTAGAAGACATAAATGAACAAGAAACACAAATGTAGAAGACATAAATGAACAAGAAACACAAATGTAGAAGACATAAATGAACAAGAAACACAAATGTAGAAGACATAAATGAACAAGAAACACAAATGTAGAAGACATAAATGAACAAGAAACACAAATGTAGAAGACATAAATGAACAAGAAACACAAATGTAGAAGACATAAATGAACAAGAAACACAAATGTAGAAGACATAAATGAACAAGAAACACAAATGTAGAAGACATAAATGAACAAGAAACACAAATGTAGAAGACATAAATGAACAAGAAACACAAATGTAGAAGACATAAATGAACAAGAAACACAAATGTAGAAGACATAAATGAACAAGAAACACAAATGTAGAAGACATAAATGAACAAGAAACACAAATGTAGAAGACATAAATGAACAAGAAACACAAATGTAGAAGACATAAATGAACAAGAAACACAAATGTAGAAGACATAAATGAACAAGAAACACAAATGTAGAAGACATAAATGAANTCGAAGTAAGTAGAGTGAAAGTAAGTAATACGGAGTCGAAGTAAGTAGAGTGAAAGTAAGTAATACGGAGTCGAAGTAAGTAGAGTGAAAGTAAGTAATATGGAGTCGAAGTAAGTTGAGTGAAAGAAATGCTGAGTTTGAGCGAGTAGAGTGAAAGTAATTAGAGTGAAAGTCAGTAATAAGGAGTATAAATAAGTAGAGTGAAAGAAATACGGAGTGTGAGTGAGTAGAGAGAAAGTACGTATATAAGTATTACAGAGTGAATGATAATATAGATTCAAGTAAAAACTTCTGTTGTATGAATAAGCTTCTATCTCAAAAAAAGAAAGAAAACTCCGCATTTCAGTGGACATCATCAATACGATACCGCATTTCAGTGACTTAACCATCATCACATTCCGTCTAACTTCTTTGACTTTTGTACCTACTACTATGGTTACTCTGTAAACAACCCACACAATTAAACCCTTAGAACCCCCAGTCTCACTTTATCGATGTAAGTGCAGCCTCGCATGCCAGTGATCTGACATCTGCGCACATCAGGCACTTTGAAGTAGGTGTGCAGCAGCAAGTTACACGACAAGGTCTCGGCGCCAGGATTGTATACACTGATGTTGAAGTGCAGCTCTTTCTCCCGCAGGATGAGACGATATGTGAGACTGAAGGGATAGTTCCACATGGTCCTGGTGTACTCGTTGTCCAGCAGCTGGAACATGGCCTCCACGTCGCCTGTAGGCAGGCGCTCGGGAGGCTTTTTCAGCTCCCATCGCGAGATGCGAGCAAAGCCGTGCTGAGGTCCGGTGTTGGACGGACCGAACTGGGCTGTGTGCGCCAGAAAATACGTCATAAACTTGCATTGCACGTAAAATTGTTTCGATTACCATACTAATAGAAATTTAATATTGCATATTTACTGTTAAGAAATTTTAGAAAATTATAATGATAATTCGGACAGATTAATGTACGATGATGATATCTGTGGATGTATAACACAGTTATAACGTACTTCGCGACCAACGTGAAATATTTGTGAATTATTCTTGTGTCATCTTGCAGCTCTATTTCGGCAACCGGAATGTAATTTCACCGATGACAATGCAGGCAAAAGATCTCTTCAGAATTTTGTTATTTACACCTCAGTTCGCAGTTTTATTTACATTCAAATCAAGTGCTAGACTCACGAAAGACGATCGGGATTCCGCCGCGGATGGGCCGCTTGCCATCGAACACGGACTGCTTGCTGCACGAAAAAATTTCATTGATAGACATTAAAAACCGTTATATAAATTTTTCGCTATGATTAACAAAATGTGCAAAAACAAATAGTTTAGAAAGTTGTCGAATATTTTGACCAAGAGTTCTCATCGACATTATGGCCAAAAGGGATTTGTGGATATATTCGAGGTAAATTGGATGGATATACTTCAAAACAAGAATGCTAACCGAACATACACACAAAAAAAATACAACTCAGTACTCACTGCAGTGAGTGACAGAGAGCGCATTTTCTCGTCGACGAAAACTTGAAGTCACGGACGGACGGACAGACAGACGGACATGGCGAGCACAATAGTGAATTTTTGCCATAAATGAGAAAATACGCTAAAAAAGGCTCAAACTTGGCAGTTTGGTTGGAATATAAGGTAAAATGAACAACAACAACGCAAGGACTCGACACAAAATATTAAGGTCGTTATTTAAATATAGAAAACATCCGAAAAACGTTTTCCTGGACTCTTTAATCATTGTTTACGTGACGTAATTATAAATCAGACCCTGGGTTTAAAAGCGCTACGAAAAAATTTCAATCAAATTTTAAATTATGATTAACGTAAAATAATGATTGATGAGGTGTCACAACTTTAACTTACGACAAGACAGTCGTAACATAGAAATCAATTATTTACGAGATGTCACAACTTCAACTTACGACAAGACAGTCGTAACATATAAAAAAACTATAAAATTATTGATGAGGCGCCACGACTTCAACATACGACAGGTAGTCGTAACAGAAATAAATTTTATCGATGAGTTGTCACAACTTCAACTTACAACAAGGCAGTCGTAACATAGAATTCAAACATTGCATGATGATAGCCAGATCATTAACTTAATTACGACATGACACAGAAGTCAAACATACCTGACGAAGAGTTGTTCTTGGTTATTCACTCTCCACGACACGACAGTGGCACCTGGAAAGAGAGATACAATTTTTAATCGTAACATTGAGTGAGTCGGTGTTAGAATTCATGTTGCAGCCACAAATGTTTATTTTTCAGGTTAGGTATTGAAGAATCGAAAGACTAAGGAGAATGCCGCTGATAGTGTGTCGTATCGGATGAATTTGTAAAAAAGTACCGTATATTAATAAATGGTTTGATTTTTTTTTAGTTTCACTTATTTAATGGTGGTTTGGCATGGTAAACGTCGTCATCCGCACTTGGCAACTTAGGCGTATTAAATACCGCAGCTAATAGTATAATTCATTTGACATGGAAAAATCCTAATAGAGCATTACGGGTAGTGCAGGGATAATCCGCTAGCTCTTTATTTCGCACGTCATGCATTTAATAATCGTCGCAGATACGGAATTAGATTTCGAAAAAAAAATAAAATGAGGAAAAGAGGGAAAAAATTTGTGAATCTTCAGGAAAAAGTTGAGTTATATATTAATTACACTATCTTTTTGTTTGCAAATTCGTCAACATGCAAGATGAATCTGTTTAACTTGTGTAAGCCATAAATTTATTATATAATTATTTCATACATCTTCTGTAGAAAACGACAACCATGGCCCGAAAGACGTCCAACAATGGCGCCGAGACAGCGTCTGCAGGCAGACATATTTTATTTTTTTCCAACATTCCAATAATAATAGTGCGCCATTGATAAGATTCCAGCTCACATCAGCGAATCTGGCATTTTATATATTCTAATAGGTATTCAATATAATCAAAATCTATAGAGCACTCTCGATACAGCGTATAGACTACATCAGTTACACAGATACCTATTCTGAATGTTCTATATGTTCTTATCCTACAGATTGGTATCGATGCAATCTATGAAATTCCAGTATCTTACACATCAGCGACAGTCACTACATATATTCTAATATTTTACACATAGTGATTCTAGATATAGCGCTATCGATGCACCCTATAGAATCTTAGAAGAAATCAACTAGCGACTTTACAGTATAGAAGCACTCTATATGAAGTCTAGAAAACCGGCGACAGTCATTCTAATATTTTATACATTGTAATTATACATAGCGCTGTCAATGCCCCCTATAGAATATTAGACGAAATCAACTAGCGAATTTACAGTATAGACGCACGCTAGGAAGTCAAGAAAACCGGCACCGGCACCAGCAACGCATCACAAAACCAGCGCCGTTGGACCCGACACCGCGCGAGTTTCCTGGTCGTCACTGATTTCCTGGGGAATTTTTTGCCGCCTGCAGCAGCGTTGGAGTTGGAAGGAAGGCTTTTTTGTCCCAGCAGAGTTAGAGGGCGGCGGCGGCAACGGAGCACAACTTTCCTCACTGCCGCCGAAGACGAACGAAAGCGATTTATTTTTTGCGGACGCAGCCGGTGCAGCCGAAGGAAGCTCCGCGGATGGTGGCGCGCAAGGAACGTCTTGGGGAGACCGCCTTTATATTGAGCGGGTTTATGGAACCCGGAAATTGTGTGCAAAGCTTTTGAATAATCGGTATAGCTTTATTCAAGGTGCCTCATGAGAGGCTTTAAAAGCACAAGTCTCAATCAGATGTTAATTTTTCTTCCCGATTTAATCTCATGCTTTTTTAATTAGGCCATAATCTTAGACCACATAATTACGCAATTGAAAGCATTAAAGCATTATTTGTGGTCTTTTAAATTTGCGGTTCAATTTTGTGCATAAATAACAAATTTTGTCGCAACTGGTGTCATGTTTGTTAATAATATACATGCGGGTGAACTTCGCCAAATAAAATGTCTGAATAAAGAAACTAAGAAGCAGCTCCAACTTTTATATGAGAATGTCGACAAACAAACAGGCCCAAACAATACTTACATTGCCATGCTTGCTAAAGTGAATGTAAAGCACGACGAACTAGGTACTAATTATACACGTAAATATCATTTGAGGATTATGTACATCATTGTTCGGAAGAGGGTCGACAGAAGAGGCGAATGTTACGAGCACACGAGTTCCCAGGAGACAGCGGAGGAACCAATACACCGGACGGACGAACTATACGCCTCTTCCCAGTTTTCTTGCGGGAATTTTTTGCGATCAAGTCTGGTGCTGCTACTGTTGCTGCTGCTGTTGCTGTTGTTGCTGCTGCTTCTGCTGCTGTTGTTGCTGCTGTTGCTGCTGCTACTGTTGCTGCTGCTGCTGTTGCTGCTGCTGCAACTGTTGCTGCTGCTGCTGCTACTGTTGCTGCTGCTTCTGCTGTTGCTGCTGCTGCTACTGTTGCTGCTGTTGCTGTTGCTACTGTTGCTGTTGCTGCTACTGTTGCTGCTACTGCTACTGCTACTGTTGCTGCTGCTGCTACTGTTGCTGTTGCTACTGTTGCTGTTGCTGCTGCTGTTGCTGCTGCTACTGTTGCTGCTGCAACTGTTGCTGCTGCTACTGTTGCTGCTGCTACTGTTGCTGCTGCTACTTTTTCTCCTGCTACTGTTGCTGCTGCTACTGTTGCTGCTGCTACTGTTGCTGCTGCTACTGTTGCTGCTGCTACTGTTGCTGCTGCTTCCGCCGCTGCCACTGCCGCCGCCGCTGCCACTGCCGCCGCCGCTGCCACTGCCGCCGCCACTGCCGCCGCTGCTGCCGCCGCCACTGCCGCCACCACTGCCGTCACCTCTCCTCCTCCGCTGTTCAGAACGCAGGAGCAGCCAAGGCGCCGAGTCGCTCCTATGCTTCCTTCGCTTGTTCCCAGAGCGAAGTTTTTGCGATGGTTTTTGCGTAGCTCCGCTATTGATCTTGCGCACAAGCAGAAGACAGAACGACTCGAACTCTCTGCACACCAACTACAACTTCTTCAAGATGCGAACCACATTCAAGTAGAACCTTGCGCACGAATTCCATGGATATTTTAAATCATTCATCCCGCGACCACTTTCTTCGATAAAACGCTGAGCCTCTACAATAAAATTTACTCAAAACTACATTACTATCATAATAGCATATACTTGTTAGTTTCAAGTTTCTTCCGAAAACTTACACCATTGACAGGTAAGCTTAATCCCACAATAGGTAGTAATAAAAGAAGGTAAATTTCAACTCAATCATCAAGATACGCGTGCGAAACATATGCTCCTCATGCGAAAATTTCACTATGTATATACATCCGAATGGAAAGATTAATCAGGAAACCGTTCTACGGCCCTTAATCGATAAATAAACTTTGACACGGAAAACCTAGGGTAAAAATGCAAAGTTGCCGCTGGCTTAATGGCCATGTGAAACACTTTAATGTTAGCCAAAAATAAGTTAATAGCAATAGTAGGGACCCAAACTTCAACCTTAAGATGATTTAAAATTAAATACAGAGTTCAATTCAAAACTAGTTAATGAGCTCATCATAAGCCGTTATACATGAATGAAAATTTACCAGCAAAGGGAAATATGTGGGCGATACATGGCGATTTAGAATGTACGTGTAAAATATGTGCGGAATCTTCGAACATTTAAAAGACAGACAGTCGTACCTAAATTTCGTTTGCCCAACGCAATTGATGCGGAAGTTGCACAAAAATTCGAGTTGTCAAATTTCTAGATAACGACCTTTTAATTCACTGTTTTCAATGAACATTATACTTCACCCGCTTCAAGCACTTGCACACTAGATATGCGAAATTTATTAGGTCCAAAACAAGTACGTACACGAATGAATGCCACAACCACCGCCTGTTTACGTACGGTAGTACGAAAACACCGCCTGTTTACGTAGTCATTTCAGTAGGTACTAATTTAAATTGAATAGAAGAATCTCGGCATTAATTTCGAAAACACACGAAAACCGAGAATCGAGAATAAAATAGTGTACCGTATTTTAATAAATAACTCATAACTTTTAATTTAATTGATTGTAATGAACGACCAACTTTCTTCAAACAGATGCATGATAGAATTTAATACAATATCGAAAAGCTGATGAATGAGCTCAATTTTTCTTTATAATTAGTTAAAATTGTAGTACCCAGTAGGTATAACTTCCAAAGATGGCTTATAAAATACCAATACTAAGTCGTTTTTAAACCCTTTAACGCCATGTGTCACTCTCCGGGAACATAACTTTCAACTTAAATTGTATACGTAAACTATTGAGTGTCGCAACATGAAGAAGTTTGCAAGCAACAGAGAACATTTTAAAGTTGTCGTACGTGGCGACAACAATCAGTGCAAGTCATTTTGCGCTCACTAGAACGAATCATTTTTGGGAAGTAGGCTTGTGACAATATTGCTACGGTTACTCATAGTGCTGTCGGCGCTGAAGAATAGGCCTGCTGAGGCCTGTCGTCGATTCTTGTACGTTTCGTGACTTGTCCACAGGAGATCTAACAACAGGCGGTGGAGAGTTAAATTCGTCACCGAGGTGTGAAGCAGTTGTGACTTGTGGAGGCTTGCACGCGCGGGTCCCGAAGCTCAGAATCGGAACACAATACCTACGTCATGGTAACGTGCAAACGTGACTGACGTTGTTTACTTAATAAACCCAGACGAGTCACCGAATTTCTTCCGATTCATGAGTTTCAACTATAGTTAATAAATTAATCAAATCACAGGCTGATAATTTAATAAAAGTTTCGATCCTTTGTGCCGGAACGGGCACCAGTACCTACTCAAATTCATTGATTTAGATGAAATTATAATACTATTGACAATACAATGGTTTCAGAGCACCAACAGGACTCTAGTTTATTTCTAAAATAAACATCTAGACAAGCACTATATGGAGTATATGTGTGTGGGCCGCATTGAAGGGTTCTCAATATATACCTAGTGCGACTTTCAAAATTTCAAAAATATATTGCACAAACTAGAGTAGGTATATTAGGCATCTAGGGGGAAAACATTGCACAACATTGTGTCAATTGTGATCAAGTGGTGATTCGTCAAAAAGAGCACCTAAATGATCAAGCGGCTTGATCAAAATCTGAAGTCAATTGATTGATGAGCACTACAATCAACTTCAATCAGACCT